ATTTATACACTTTCAGAATAGTAGTTAGATGAACTTCTGTACACGTCTTGTTATGCTTTTTAATCTATCAGTCTCCATCTTTAATTCTTAAGGTGGCAACACTGGTTGCAAAACCTTATTTATAAATGCTTATCATAAGATCTGTGTATGTCCATCCCTAACACAAATTGTCCACAAAAGAGTTATATTTGCTCATCAAAACATTGATGCCTATATACTAGCTAATGTTAGACAAATGTAGGACCTAAGTTGATGTGCTGTAATTCTGCAGGACTTGGGCAAAATTTTTTCCCCAGTAGACATTGATACACAAAGCTGCAAAAATGATCTAGGGTAAAATTTGGTTATAAATTCTAACACCTGCAACAGAACTTTTTACATATTTTTAGAATTTTCATAATTTAAAAAAAAAAAAACATTTAGCATCTAAAACATCTCAAAAGAAAACTTATGTCTGGAGTAGATGTTGTATACTAAGAAACCTTGTAGTGCAAGGAGTAACTAAATGGAATCTGGAAAACTTGATTAGGCAGCCAAGAGAAAGGAGAATATCTAAATGGTATTCACAAAGATTAATTAAATTCACTTTCAGTAGAATACCAGCAAGGAAGAAAGAGGGAAGTTCAGTAAAAGGATGTTATTTGCCACCCTGTATTTCAAATAATGCAAATGAAATTGCATTAAAGCTCGTGGACTTTTTTTTAAGAAGTCTCCAGTGGAAGAGATGCTGTGGGGACACTCACTAGTGATCAGATTTAAACTTCTATGTATGCCGACACAGGAGGCAGGTGGCCTTTTCACTCCAGGTATATCACTACTGCAAATGAAGGATGACATCATAGAAATTAATCATAGTCAAACATTTGCCAGTGTCTTCTTGGCCTATATGTTGCAGTTCTCTTTCAAACTGCACATCGTTAATAGGAAAAAAAAGATGGCATCTTGCATTGGAGCTTTGGCTCTAGAGAGTGCTACAGAAGAACAAGAGCACAAGTATACATGTTACTACTTTTTAATGTGCAAGGAAAGAAATTCTTTTGTGTCCGTAATTATGTTTGGTAGTTTACAAACTGTTTAGCTGAATTAAGAAATTATTTTTTGAAATGTTGTAAGAATCTAACTAAGCAGTCTTAAAAACTGTTCATTCTCCTTTCAGAAAATCACAATGGTTTGTTATAAAGCAACATATGAAATGCTCTAAATGATAAACTGCTGTTGGCTCTGCGAGCTATCAGTCAGAAAATGAGTAAGAGAAAGCAGGAAATATGCAGCAAAATCAGCTATGATTTATGCCAGTGCTGTTATAATCACATCACAGTACAGATTTGTTCTGAAGAACTCAGTTTAATACTTTGTGTACTCATATTTATCATAGGTCTGTGCAGACACAGAAACAATGTTTTTATCAAACTATGATGTTTTTGACTTGAAATACATTTAGCACAGATGACAGTTTTTAACCACTAATTTTGACGTACATAGTTAAATATTACATAAATATTAAATGACAGTAAACAAGGAAACAAGCCACATAGTGTTGTATGGCTTTTGTCTGGAAACCATAAACATAATGAGAGTCATTACTCTCTATAAACTCATTCATGAGCATTGGTAATGAGTTTGTGTTTTAGAACACTGGTGAAATTTTGACTGAAATTTGTCAGGCATGTTGGAAAAAAAAATCTATTAACTTGAAATGTAAGAGGGAAAAAAAATTAAATATTGTTTCATTGCTTAAATAACTTGAATATTGGAACAGCTGAACAACTATTAAAATAATGAGTTGAAGAACTTGACTTCACTTCAGTTTATTAGTGATTATTCATTATTAAAAAAGTTCACAGTCAATTTAGTAGTGATTAAGAAAGAAAACTTAAAATACCATGAGCACAGTGTTAAGTATAAAATAGAAATTGCCTGAAGATTTACTGAAGACCCCACTGCATCAAAATATAAGACAGGACTTCTCAGGTGTCCTCAGAAACTACTACTTGAGCTTTGTGTTCTCGGAAACATGAAAATGTCATAAATAAATAATAATAAAAAAAAATGTTTAATTATATTCATTAGATCTGTCCTCCAAGTACTTGTCTTTGTCCCAGACCCCCTTTGAATTCATTAAAAGATTTTGCATCTGCAGTGTTATTCTGGGAGAAGTGAGAGATGGATTGAATGAATTATCTGACATTGATCTCTGAAGTCTCTAGAACACGGCTTCGAGTTAAGCTTTACCCAAAAAAGAGTGGTTGAATTTGGTATGAGTAGTGGCAACATAATAGAAGTGAACATGTACAAGAAAGACATGGATCTGTTAGAGCGGGTCCAGAGTAGGACCACAAAATGGTCAGAGGTATGGAACACCTTTCCTGTGAAGGCTGAGAGACTTGAGGTTCTTCAGCCTGGAGAAAAGAAGGGGAATCACTTCTGCCACAGCATGCAGCTCCTGGGTGGAGTCAGGAGCTTTGAGGACCAGAGTGACACAGTAGGGGATTGGTGATAGATTTGACAGATCAGCAGGAGCCCCCTGCTCCTCCCTGCAGCCTGTATGTAAGTGTGGTGAACGAGTGGTACCAACTGAGAGATTTCTAAGGCTGGTCTGTGTCCCATAAATGTTTTGTGGGCTGCTACCCACTGCAAGGCTGGCAGGAGAGAAGGAGGAGGAGCAGCACAGTATGTCAGTTGCAGATCATGCAAAATGAAAAAGTGATGCAACACTTTCTCTAGTTACAACTACAGTCTATTCACTGCAATAAAAATGTCTTTCCTCCAGTTCATGAGGAATTCTACACTTGTCTGTTCTGTCCACATAATGCCTATGAAGCCCTTCACTTCCTGAAGGAAATCCCTTCACACATCTGCTACCCTTTCACACTTTGATGAATCCTCTTTCAGATTCTGTAAATGTGTCCTCTTTCTTCAGTATTTAGAACCTCAAGATCCCCAGACAGTCAGCTGTGGTTAATGCTTGGCTTAAAATCTCAGAACTTTTTGGATGCTGAGGCTAGATGCCACTCCAGAAGGAACAGGGTCATTCCGTGGTTTCATGGCTTTACAGATGAAGGGGAGAGGAAAAAGTAAAATTGCCTCATACACTTGCAATGCTTTATAGGCCTTCTCAAGCTTGGGAGACCTGGAAGATGGAAAGTTCCTTCTCGGCTTTTTTCTGGTTGTCATCAAAGCTCCACTCCAGTGGTCTTGCATTGTGGATCTTCTGCTACTTGGTTATGCAGTGTGGATTTAGTTTGAGTAGGTTCCCAACCTATCCAGTCAGGACTCTTTTGGCTTGGAATGAAAGTTAGATGCTCATTTTTTGCTGCACTTGTTTTAGTATTGGAGTTTATCATGCATTTTTAGTACTACTTATGTGACTTGGTAGGGAACATGGGGCAGCAGGAAGAGGAGAGAAGAGCTGAATCCAAATCTGCTGGCAATGCTAACAATTGCCTTAGTGTTTCAGTAGTCAATTTTAATAATTGAAATATTTTTCTGCTCTTTGCTATGAAAGAAAAAAAAAAAAATCTATTTGTGAGGGCAAAGAAGAATCGGTTTTATAAGTAGTATTGTTCACCAAGATGATGTCTCCATAAATTTTGTACAACCGGAAAGGCACAATGACTTGTTTGAGAAAGCAAGACAGTGAAGTTATATCTTTACTAGAACTTTTTTCTGTATCTGGAAATCTGCTGTGTATGTTCTAAGGACGTACCAAAAGGGTACCACACCCCTCAGTGATGGTAACATGTATGAAGGCAGTTGTGCTTGTACTTCGCTATTTTGGTGTATGCTTGTGCTGCAGATAATGGCTTTGAAAGAGTCTGAAGTCTTTTGAGAATAAGAGATGTGCAAGAGTTTTGAAGGAGATGCAAATTACCTTTATACAAAAGCATTGCTATAATATTATTGGAGGGTAGGGGGAAACCTACACATTTTTTTTCTGAGCTGCTGCATTTTAATTCTGTTGCACTGATTTTTTGTGTAATATCTCCTAAGTTAAGAGTCATATATTTTACTGATGAATCATACAAGACTATTTGCTTAACAAAAAGAAATATGTATACACAAGTATTTGAATTTCAAATTCACCACACCTTGTGCAAACAAACAGTAGAATGGAGTGGGAAGAACAACAGGGTTCTGATTAATGGAGCAATGTGGTGGTAAGGGTTGACTTAAGATAGAGGGTAGGGGCATATTCTGGAGAGAAAAGGGCATTTTCAGCAATTGCTGGTTACAGTGCTGCAGCATCTCAAAGGAAAACAAGTATTGAAGAGAAGTGGAACTCAGAAAAAAATATTTCACATTCTCCCATACCAGCAGTGCCAAGTAGTAGCAATAAAGCCTGCTTACATTTTAGTACTTGTTAGCAATTAGTGCAAATGCAAACCTATGTAGGCTCTCGATGATTTTACTAAGATTTGGACTTGCATTAATATAATCTGGAAATTGATGCTGTATTATTCACTTGATATAGCAAACTATTTCATCAGTTGTACTGAGCTTTTTTAAGGCCGATAGAAAAAGCATGAGACATACAGACCACGGCTGATTTCTTTTTTTAAGGACACTGACCAAAAATATCTAAAACAGAAACTGAGAATTGCTGTAATAACACACGCTCCCACCCATGAAACAGGAGAAGAGAAAAGCAGGTTCTTTTCGAAGCTCACAGATCAGCTTGAAACCAAAAAGATTGTTTCCTCTCAAAACCAAGGATGCACCAGCAAAAGAAACATCAAACTGAATCAGTCTGGGCTTTCATGTGAAATTAAAGAATGAAGACTTGATGCTTGTTTCAGACTGATATTGGTATTGACTTTTCAATAACAAGTACATAACAGAATAGAACATCTCATGTCGTTTAGAAATCCCCCGAGTTTAACTAAAGCACAAGAGATTTGACAAGAGATGATCTCTTGCGATAACAGAAGTACATTTTCCCAAAATATAAGAAATAATGAGGAATAATAATAATGTGATGGAAACAAGTCTTAGAACTTTACCTTTGTGGCAGCATCAAAACAGACAAAACCCATGCTAAAGTCAATGGTAAGTCCCATAAGATGACTCTCCAAAATACAGGCATATGTCTTGCACTGTGAAAGAAAAATCAGAGAAGGTAATTATTACAGAACATATTTCTTCAAATTCTTTCTAAGACCAGTATTTCTGTGTCTTTATTCCAATGTTTATATATCTCAAAATTACTACCAGAAATAAGTCATTTGTGTGTAAATAGGTCAATTTATTGCCAGTGTATTTCAAATCAAAGGTTTTATATCAATGATGAAATTTTCTAAGTATTGTAAAAAGAGGCTTTGCTTCCATTAGGAAAAAAATAAATCAGAATCAGAATTGCCTCAATAGTTTACCAATGACAACTGCTAAAAGGGAAGTTTCATTATTTTCGAACTCTCTTATTTGTTTTGGTACCCGGTAAATTCCTCTAACATTAAAATATTCCTTTTAGCTTTTTAAGAAAAAATAAATGCATTTGTAAAATATCTCTTTGGTATGCTATTTATTATGGTTTTGTGTTGTCCTAAATCTCAGTGAAAAAGGTAGTATTTCACACCATATAGAAATTGACATAATCATATGAAACACCTTTCTTGCTTCAGCTAGTGCACCAATATATCACAAAGGTTTCTATAAGAAACCTTGAAATCCTGAAAGACTTTCTCATTCTATGATTTTTAAATCTATGCATCTATTTATTTCCATAACATCACACCTTAATACACGCTGTAAGATATGTATTAGTGTTGTTTTCAGGATCAAAACTATTGCTGTGCCTGAAGGCTGGCTTCAGGTACAAAATGACAAACTTGTATTTTTCATCATAAAATATATAAAAAAAACCCCACAAACATTTCCAAATCTGATGTAAGTTCTTTAAAGAAACCATTCTTATTTTATAGAAATTTTACCCTCCAGATTAAATGAAATACAGTTATATTCTTCAGATGTTGCTGTAGCCACTAAATATGAAATGGGAACAAAGACTTCCATGATCTATAATGTGTCAAAGAACCAAAATATAAATTGTAAACATGGGGACAATGTAAGTTACTAAATTATCAGTGTTACAAAAGTATATATTATTTTCGGCCTTTTGATTACCAAGGATAAATCACATGCCTTTACTTATATATTCCTTGCGTAGGCTCTCTGGATTCTAAATGGTCTTCACCAGAACACAAGAAGCTGAAAGGCTCATTAACAGCTTTTAAGAGTAGAAGTAGACATTGTAATGAAGGAAAAGTTCATAGCTATATCGATTCTTTGGTTATTTTAAACTTGACTTTCTTAAACTTCAGTATAGATTTTTCTGGAACTGAAATATTTGAGTGAATTGCTTTCATTGATCAAGTCAGGTTTCAACTACATAGAAACAGTTGTTGGTTGATCTTTGTGCACACATCTTGGAGCTCTAGAATCCAGGTTTCAAACACAGTGATACCCATCTCTGAAGACGAAGGACACTCTCTGTTAGTTATTAGTGGGGCAGCGTTTAAGCCAGTCTATAGACAAAGCATGGCCATCTATAACTCAGAAGTAAAAACAATCCATGACGCATGCCTTACAAGATGATTTTGCGTTATTGCTGAGTAACAGTAAATCATATGTTACTGTGTGATTCACCAAAGGTGTTTAAAAGTTATAACTGTCAGTAAATGAAAGGTTTCCTACTGCTGCTGTTGAGGTGGAAATCAGCGACTAGTCTATTCTTGTAGCTTTCAACACTGAAAGAACTTTATGTACTTCACTACATGTATAAAATCTGTATTCATACAGTATAGAGGTGCACTTGGTCATTATAATTCTTAATGCATAAACCCCCACATTTTTTAATTACAAAATCAATGATTCAGCTCTGTGGTATTTGCAGTCATATGGTATTTGTGTTTATATTAGCAAATAAAAGTGGCTTTTTTTTGGAGCAGCTACACCATAAAACTCCTATGAATATGTAAACTTTGATAGTAAATCACTGTTGTTAGAAAAGGAGAGGATATTGTCTTTGGCAACATCTCATTAGTAGAAGAAAAGAGTGTAAAGTAATATATTTCACAGTGACTTACTACTTAATGAATTCACATATGCAAAAATGTTCAGGTTTTGCTAACTTCCTACAAGATGCAAACTACATTTTTATTTGTAGACCTCCAAGGTATCTAGAACAGACATAGAGCTTTTACTGAGAGTTAAAATTTGGCAAGGAGACAGTATGTCAGATTTAAAATATGTATTGCCATCTAACTCATCTGACCTCCCACCTCAACACCAGAGGTCAACCTACAATGCGCATTGCAGCACCACACTGAGCTGGCACAGCCAACTCTGCTTAAGCACAGCACCGTGCCTGGGCTAATTAGCCTCACTGAGAAGTTAAGATTTATGAGAAACAGGTCATACCAGTCTTGGTTCAATGCTGCACTGAAAAAGCAACCTGCTTGCCAGACTGAAGGTTCTTTCTACAAAAGGCAGTGCAGAGTTTGTAGAGAAATATCATCTAGTTCAGCTCAATGTGGTTATTGTTAAGAAGAAACTGCATTGTAAGGTGCAGACCAGCAGTAGTAGCTGATTCTTTACTTATTGTTTACTTACACATAAGACTAGTCCATGCACTTGGACCATGTATTCCATGATGTTCAACACAATTCAGAGAAGCAAAAATGTGAGAATAACAAAAAGATCTCTGGACAGTGAGATTTTAGTTTCTTTGGGGAAGAATGCCCCTTGTTTTATGCATGTGTTGTATGCACTTGCACATGATTCTGGTCACAGGTCAGAGTAGGAATGTGAACTTTCAGACACTTGTTAACTCTGTTAATATTTTTCTCATCTTTATTTTCTTTAATGTGTCTTTTCATTCAGACATTTGAAGAAAACAAAAATGCAGAAGTTCTTCCCAGGAAACTTGATAATTTAAAATTTCTTAAACATTTAACAAACACTTTAAATAATTAAAAGTGACTATTAATAATATATACTGTGGATGTTTGTCTTTGGTTAGTGATTTCTCACACAGAGCTCATTAAAACCATATCAGAATTGAAGCATCCCCCTCCCAAAAGAAGCAGAAAATATTTCAGCACTCATTTCTTGTTCTCTTGGGTTTATGAATAATTGGATTTATGAATAATTCAGCAGGTCACACAGGGGCTGAAGGAGACAACCCAAAGTTGTTCCTTAGATTCAACTCCCTCAGTACACACAGTTTAAATTATGGAAAGAATGATACGTTGTAAACCTAGTGTAAATTATCTCTGAAGCTAAGGGAAACCCAAGATTTAATTCAGACTTTCAAACTCAGATTCAACTTCAATGGAGACAAACATTAAAGTACTGTAACACAAAGCAGTTTACACCATAAAGCTTGCACTAGAGAACAAACAACTACAATAAAACAAGAAGGACAGCAAGAAAAAAATTCAGGATGGAAGTGGTGAAAATTTTAGCATAAAGTAGCGGGAACACAAAGGGAACCTGACAATCATATATAATTGCACATCATTATGCAAACTATGGTAGTCTCAGATTCTTCACATAACAATGCCGTGAGATAGTAAGGAAAAAGGATCTCCGTTTCAACTATTTTTTTTTTCTTTTAATAAGTAATTATGAAAATGGATTAGCATCTCTTACTACTCTAAAGAAAACTAACTAAAGAGTGACTGTAACACACCACAATGGCACCACTACAATATCATACCACATTATTGCTAAACTATTATCAGCTTGACTATCTCTCCTCTAATATATTTCTTTCCTAAAAAAAAAAAAAAATAAAATTTTGTTTCAGATATACCTCTGGCAGAAGCTATGAACTAAGCTTAAACAGAATTTTTTACATATTTATAGTGAGGCATTTTTAAAATATTTCAGTTTGTGATGTATTCTTTAGAATTACATCAGAATACGGCCCTGATTAACCTCTCATGGAGGTTAATGCCAATTTATACTCGTTGAGTAACTCTGTTATTATTTATATGATTATGGAATAGTACACAACACATTTGAATAATTTTAAGTGGCAGTTTTAAACTGCAGTTATATTTTCAAAATGATATGATTTCATAGCAAGACAAACCTGCACACAGCTGGATTATCGTTCACATGAAAAGCTGGATTATCATTCACATCAAATATGAATATTCATATGAATACGACTGCATAATGCACAGTTTTAGTAAAAATGTACAGTTGGTACCTTGATTTTGAACCTGTTACCTTTTTTTTCTCACATAGCAATGAAAGAACTTGTTGGAGACAAATTATACCACTACTTAGTCAAACCAGATTTTATCTGAATCTGCAAATTGGTGGATGAAAGCAGGAACGGATTGCTGAAAGAAAAATGAGGAGGCCAAGACTAGTTATATTAAAAATTAATATCCTAATTTTTTTCCAGACTGAGATATAGAAAGAGAGGCAAGAAAATAAAGAAAAAAAATCGTAAGTGTGAGTTCCACGATTATAATCTATCACGAGAAGCCTGTTTGTCCACCTAAATGAATTTCAAATCAATCTCAAGAAATCATTACTTTGAGTTCATAATTACTACTCTGAAGACCAGTAGAGTGAAAAGAAAAGTGGAAAGGTTAAGATTAATCTGAGGTTAAGATTATTAGGGAAATTCTTTTTGGGAAACATGGAAGCAATTTTGAATAAATGTAATTCTAAAACTGAAGGGAAAAATCTAAACTAGGGATGCTACAGTATGAATCAATATTAGAGAAGAACAAATATGGAGTGGCTTCTGGGCTAAAAGTTATTCAAGAAAATTGCCATATACTCTTTTACTGATGGCACAGTAGTGCTTCTACAAACAATGTTGCAGTCAGTTGTATGAAAAAGACAAAGCATCTCAAATATTTAGTAGCGGAGGAGATATATTGTTGCAATTTTTATACAGAAAAACTACACTTACATTTTTCAGCATGACAGTCAGAGTTCAAAAGGTAAGAATAGCTCCTGTAAAAGGTAGCAGAGTGCATGCACTTAAAGATAAAAGTTGAACCTTCTTCGACGCCTCCTCCAACAAAGGTAAGATGCCTTAAAACTGACAGCAGTGTAGTTTTTGCAAAATGGATCATCATTAGTATACGCTAATTCAGTCCACCTGCATGTGTTGGTTTATAGGTCAGAAGAGGACTAATATAGAACTAACTAACAATTTGTCTAAATAAAAAACTGTCCGTGTGTGCATTCCCAGGAGGACGCAGAAAATGAGTGCAGGGAAAGTGAGCCTTAGCCAATACTTGCACAGGATAATATGTTAATATTACTTTTGTAGGTGTGTGTACAGAATAACTCATGGCAACATCAACTAAAGCTGTTCCAACCACATGTATTTTTTATGATTAGAACATCAATATAACAACTAGGATTAGGTGAATTATAATTGTGGTGGGTATTTTTTTTCTCCTATTTTAAATGAAAAAAAAAAAAACATGACTCTCTGGTCATGTGAAAAACAGAGTTATCTTTAAACACTCTGATATGTAATTTTGCTATAAAAATTCACTAGTAATCTGTACCTGAATGTCATCCATCTCTACTCTGTCATCTGACAACTGAGTAAATACACAAGAAACAGGAAATGTGTGAAAAAAGAATAATGTATCTGAGGTACAATTTTGTTCTTGCTTGCACCCAGTAAGTACCCTCACTCAGTGTACTCTCATTCCTGATTATTACAAGGACAATTTAATTCCCACAAGGTTCTCTTATGTTATCCAATAATAAATAAAGTAGCATGTAAGACAGTATGTAAGGATATCTAAACAGCTGTTTTTGTCCTTGATCTCTAGATTGTTTTTCCTCTTCTGTCCATGAACTTTAGTTAACAAGTATGTATCACCTAGTCATAATAATTCAAAGATTGTATTTGAGATGATCTCTTCTGAATGTTAGATTGCAAGCTGTTTGGGAACACCAAAAGGGTTTTTTATGCAATTACATACATAAAACAGTAATAATGTGAGAGCTGCAGGAGGTCAGAGAATTTCTGAAATTGCAACATTATTTCATATAAACCTAATTTGTTAATGTACCAAAAGGTAATCATGAGGGCAGTTCTTCTCACCTGTATCCGTTCAACTTCTAAAAAAGTTGCTGTTTGGAAGGCTTTTTCCCATAGTGTTAAGTCAGACTCTAGTTCCACAGAAAAGTAAAGATCTTCTCCAGATTCAGACTGGACACTGAAGCAATGTTTCCGCCGGTCCAGTAGATCACTGTCCTGATGAAAACCTGAAGTTATATAATCTGGCATACATCAATTAATATTTTTAATTGCAAACATCTATGCCTCAAACCTAGCATTTTTGAATGGCATTTTTAATTATATAACACTGTAGTAACTACTAAAAGCTGAGGAACTGAAAATTAGGGGTTTGGTCTAAACATTGCCATTTCAATGAGTTTTAAATAGGACACCTACATTCAGAATGATACAGAACAACATAGCATATCTGGCATAACTTCCAATATTTTAACAAATCACTTGTCAAAAATGTTATCAGCTATACATTTTTAAATTAGGTAAATTCTATAAAAGGTGTCCACTTTCTATTCACACGAGAGGAATGCAAATATCAGCTTCTCTGACCTATTTGACTCACCCATCCTGCTCTGGAAGGCTGGCCAAAGGAAGCAAGAGATTTATTTAAGCAGTAGGAAAAGTCCATCTGTCCTATTTTCCCTATAGAGGCTAGACAAAACAAGTTCATATTTCTGGTGGCTTACAAAATCCAACATAAAATTTGTCTATAGCTGCATACTGCCAGTAGAGACTATAGCAGCTGCCAGTGGTTAAGTTGCTGGCTTTGGACCTGGAGGAGGAAGTTACTTTTGGCTTTACTTTCAACACACCACCACACAATGGATAGCAGCTTATAAATATATAATATTTAATGATTGCTAGCATTTGTAATTGGCACTAAATCAAAGAATAACCGAGTTAATCAGGAAATCCATCACTAAAATGTTTTTCAATGTTTGTTTGTTTGTTTTTTTTAATACAGGATGCTTTATGCTAAAATTCTGGCATGCAATTTGTCTTTGCGAAAAATACACTTGCAGAAATAGTTTTAATTAATTTTGTCCCTACTATGGCAACGCAGCTGTCACAAGCCACAAGCTCACCAGATGTCCTTACAAATACATCTGGAAATTTGGGTATATGTAGCTTGGGTGCAATTTTACAATGCTATCCCATAGCAGAGGGCACAGCTGAGATCAGTAAAGGAGACTCACAGGACAGTATTGCCTTCTGGTTATACACAACTTGAATAGACCAAGGGTACCATAACCAGCTGATACAAGCTGGAGGAGCACTTTACATTGTTCAAGCCAGCTCTCTGTGGGGCAGAGAACCAGAAACCTGAAGCTGACCAAGAATGGAAATATATAGAACAGGAATCTGTATGAAACTATTACTCTCAGGCAGGTAAGTAGAGTAAAGCAATGGTAGAGTAAGCACTCTCTTCCTCTTTCTTTTCATTCAGTAGACATGTGACAGACCTGCTCAAGAAAGCCAGTGCATTCATGAATGCTCCTGGTTCAAAACTGCTTTACAGTTTCTAGAAGAATCAGCTATGGAGGCAACATACCCTCTCTTTGCAATCACCATGACAAAGCCAAGTTGCTCAGATTTTAAAATGACCAGTCACCGTGGAACAATCTCCTTCCTTACTTCCTTCAAGTCCTAAGCTTAGTAGCTCAATAGCATTAAGTCACGGATGGAAAAATCAGAATGAACATAGGCTGTTAGATCTTAAAAACAGCATTTCCAAAAAAATTAATATTCTCACAGATTTTTTTCCAAGTGTTCAGAGGGCTGTGTAGTTGAACTAGTTACAAGTAGCTAAATAATAGCTTATGTCCTATGACAAATAATACTTTTTTTTTGAAGAAATTGCTCGGTTCCAGAATGCATATCTCTATTTAGCTGGGCACAGTTAAGGTTTGATGCTTTTAAACTACATTGTTAAACTCTCCCATTCTTACAGGCTTTTTTCCTATTGAGAAGAATATGCTGGCTATGAAAAAGGGATGAGTTCTCGTGTAGACTGTGAAAAATGAAATGTTAAACATTTTGCTGAGGTTGATCTCTGTTAAAATGTGTTTGAAAAATACAAAAATCTTAGAAAAGTCTTTGAAGTGATTAAATAAAAGCTTGTGTATTTTATTATCAACATTGTTAGCCATAATTGTGCTAGATTTTACTAAGCATTGCATCAAACCTAGAGGATGAAAAAAGAAAGAAGAGCTAAATGGGATCCACAATATTAATCCATGTTTTTATATATGAAAATAAGAACATTCGTTGATTTAGAAAAGATCTGATCAATACTAGGTAGCATTTTCCCTCAGTGGTTTACACATAAAAGATTTAGAATATTTCAACTACTACATCATATTGTGACAAACAACACACATAATGTACTCATTTATTATTGGAATTCACATTTTGTGAAGTTCTTATTTGGAATGAAAACAAAATTCAATATTTCCACAAAATAATAATTTTCACAGAAAAATAATTTCATTTTTCAACTAGCTCTAATGTACGTACTTGTGATTTTGATATCCATGTCTATGGGTAAGTCCAAGGTAAGAAAAGTTCAAGTCAAATACATTTAAATGTTGTACTTTAGTTTTAAAAAAATTGCTGACATACATATGAGGTATTCCTTTCCTTCTTAGTGGTATTTCATTCTATTTGTAAAAATAACTTGGTGCAAGCCTCCCTTTAGTACTGCTCCTGCTCCTTTTTGTTGCAAGATCTTTAGTTTTTCATTTGTTCTCAGGCATTTAAAAAGTGAAATCTGTATTCCAAATTTATAGATCTAACCATGTTTCCATTTGTACAATGGATAATTGCAGGGAAAAATTATGTAGACAAAGCTAAAAGATAGCTATCCAAATGTCCTTGTAAAGGTAGGAATTTAAAGTAATTTTTCTTAGGAATCCAACTGAGAATTGTCCAAAAGTCTCTGCAAATTTAAGATAAACTTGTCAGGAGTCTCAAAACGAGGTCTGGATTAAGCAGGAATCTTCGTTGATTAACTTTTACCAAATGATTATTTCGCTAAAATATAAAATGTCATTCTACCCATTTAAGAATCTGCTATGGCCCTGTATTTTTATAATCACCTACTAGTCAATGATGGACACGAGCTAATTTCATGTTGATTTTTTAAGAACTCTTTCATGTTGTTAATAATTAGCTGTACCATTTCCCCCTGATGTTCTCAATCTGAATTAATACAGATTCTCTGAAGAGGAAGTCACAAAACTTGTAGCAGTATGCTAATTCCCTACTGGAAGGAAAGTAGTCCTGCCGAAGGATGGGCTGTGAGGAAAGTCCTTGGCTTACACCCAGATTCAGGGTAATCCAGCACCTCTGCTAACAGGATGATATGACTCCTGCTTGCATAATTAATAATGATGTCCATGTTAAGTGAGAGTAATAAATTTGTCTAAGGGAACCAAGCACGGCTCATTAGGCAGGTCCTTTCAAATTAAGGCAGAATACTTCTTTATCACTAAGTAGTGACATTGCCTTCTCTTCTGCAGAGGTAACGTTTTCTCTTTTGAAAAACTGCCCTCTCCAGAAGCAGCACTCCTCCTTTTCGATTACTTGTGTCTTTTCATTTTACGTATGATGAATGCATTAAATACTCATATTTTGGCTATTATTTAAATCCGCTAAGATACAAGAGACCCTCAACTTTTACTATAGTCAGTAAGAGTTGAGTTGTTGTATTCTACAAAAGTCTATGCAATAGAAAACAAAGCTAAGTCTACCAGTTTCATACTCATGGCATGATTTTTACCCAGGACGTGCTCAAGAACTGTCTGGAAGTCTGGTTTACCTGTGAAGTTATATGCAATATACAGAGTAATTTGGGGATGGAACTGTGAATATTAGTGACACTAGTGAACAGTTTTTGGCATGAACAACAATTCATGTAAGATGTTCAAAACCTCCTAATCAGAGTTGTATACCTAAACAGAAAAAACAGACCTTGACTTTTGAGATAATTTTATTTCAGCTGTTAAAATGAGGTAAATATTCATGTTTGTAATATTAATTATAATAATTCTTAATAATACACAGATGAGAAAACAAACAAAACCTGTTTTCTTTGTTGACTAGTTTAGACAGTCCTGCAAAAAGAAATCTGTCCTATCATAACCAAGATTCAAACCTAGCACCTAAATTCTCTGAAGATAAAAAGCATTCTCCATCAATTCAAGAGTGCAATAACTCCAAGGCAACTGTAAATAATAATCACATTATGCCTTTACACATGCTGGCATCAGTGCCCTGATTACTTTACTGTTTATGTCTCCTTTCACTTATCAGCTCCATCTACATAAACATACATCCTTCTTTCTAAGGGATTCTAATGATCTACTTCTTTATCTGAAACTTTGGGAACACTCTTCTTGAGCATCACCATTAGTTGCTATGGAGATGGTTCTAATAGCATTTATAGGCAGGAGGGAACAGATTCACTCCAAAGTGAAAAAAAGATACTGCTTCTCCAACATATCCTCATTAATCAAGTAATAAAGGAAAAACAACCCATGCAGGCATGCCTATGTTTGTACATAGAAACATAGAATCATAGAATAGTTTCGGTTGAAGGGACCTTTAGAGATCATCTAGTCTAACCCCCCTGCTGTGTGCAGGGACACCTTCAACTAGATGAGGTTGCTCAGAGCCCCGTCCAACCTGACCTTGAATGTTTCCAGGGATGGGGCACCTACCACCTCTCTGGGCAACCTGGTCCAGTGTTTCACCACCCTCATTGTAAAACATTTCTTCCTTCTATCTAGTCTAATCCACCCTCTTTTAGTTTAAAAACATTCCCCTTTGTCCTGTCGCAACAGGCCCTGCTAAAAAGTCTGTCACCATCTTTCTTATAAGCCCCCTTTAAGCACTGAAAGGCTGCAATAAGGTCTCCCTGGAGCCTCACACCTCATTTTATTTGGACCCTTTTGAATTTTAATGTTAAAAAACATAAGAAAAATGTTGAAATTCCATGTGTATATATATGCATTTAAATAAACACAGAATGCCAGCTAAACTAAAACTGGACAGAGTATTTTTCAATGTCCAAATTTTATGAAAATATGTTTTCTCAAGGGGAAAAATAATTATAACAACAGGATAAATTTTAGTTTCAATTAAATTTCCATTAGAAAAATCTGTCTGATTGCTTGAGAGAAATAGAAATGTTCATTCCCTGTAACCTATTAGGTACAGCAGTAAGCTCAAATTACTTTCCCATTCTGCCTGAATAGGAAAATTAATTTCCTATTCTGACTGATTAAAAGGTGATGCAATCTCAAAGACCCACATCGGAATCAGAGCAAGAGTCTGAATAAAGGTTTCTCCTGAGCCAGTGCCATAATTGTGCCTATTTCTTAATGACCTCCACTAAGAAATGTGTTTATTTTCAAAATGTGTCATTTTCAAAATTTTCATAAAACACACTAATCTTTTTGGGAAAGAACTTATTCTAAGACTTTCCAGAGAAGCATTGGTGGTTATTTGCTGCTAAAGAGAATCAGAGACTAATGTAATTACAAACAGAGATTAAAAAAATGTG